GCTGAAGCTGAAGGAAGTGAATCAGACAGTGAGGAAAGCCGAAGAAGGAAAGAAGTTCGCACCAAGAGAGAGCAGGATGTTGTCTCTTTTCTTTGGTAGCAGAACAGTTTGATCGCCGAGGGTTTTGCATTTGTGAGGTCGCAGTTTGCCGCAGTGCATCAGAGGCTGGATCGGTTTGAAGCCAGTTCTAGTCACAGAGATGAAGCCGAAGAGGAAGAGTCTGAAGAGGCCGAAGAGTCGGAGAGTGAGGAGTTCTAGTGGTATTGTGGTAACCCCGTTCGCTTTTTCCTTGTTGTTTCTTAGCTGTTGTAGTTTGGTGTTAGGTTGTTGTGTGCTTTGTGTGCTTGCTTGTTTTGTTTGTTGCCTTGTTGTTTAGCTAGTTTGTTAGTTGGTGTTTGGGTTAGTTGTTGAGTTCTAAGTTGTTGTCTAGAAGTTGTTTGTTGTGTTGAGGTTAGAGTTCTTGATGCTCAATCTATCCGTTTGTTGACCTCTTGCCAATCCTTGGATTCGTAATGTTTTCTTACTTGCTTTGGAACCTTGTGAGAACTTTTGGAGTTTTTGACCAAAAGGGATATTCTTGAAATTTCTAGTCACAATTTTGTTTCCTTGTTACCTTTCGTTTTAACTCGTTGTACCCAAGTTTCGGGGACGAAACATCTTTGAAGGGGGAGAGGATGTGACACCCCAAACATTCACACTCCAATCCATGAATTAATTGAGTAATTAATTCTATTTCTCTTGAGGAATTGATTCCTAAAATCCTTATTTTTGATACTCAAGGACTAGTATTTGACTAGTCAATCTTTAAGTGGTGTTGTACCTTGTGCTATGAGAGAAGTTCCCTTGTTCCTTACACTTTCTAAGAGTTAGTAAGGGTATCCTTGTCTTTTCACCAAGAGTTAGTTTTGTAACCTAAACCTAGAAGACTTCTTCATTTTCCATCCCTTACAATTCCTAGAAAATATCTCTACCTTCTCTCTAGAAAAGAAGAGTAGCTTGTTCTTCAAGCCTAGTGAGACCTTTGTCAAGATTCCAAGTTTTGCTTCCAAGATTCAATCTTTCCTCTATTTGGGCATCTAGAAGGGTAAGATCTAAGCTTGTCTAGTCTTTTTGGTTCCATCTTAGTTGTCTTTTCTTAAAGGTAGGATCTTTATGATCTTTTGGTTTGATCTTGAAGTGGGTTTCGCTAGTGAGCTTAGTGGAGAGCTTGTTGTGGTGTAAGAGGAGTCTTTTGGTCTTCAAGAGGTAACCCATGCTCTACAAAACCTATTTTCCTTACCTATATATGATTTCTTGGCTTCTATTTGTGTTTTGCTATGAAATGTGAGAGTTTATGCATTTATCTTGTGATATTGCATATCTAGAGCTTGTGTTTAGGGTTCCTTTGTGCCATTGCTTGGCATGTTCCTTGGTTCAAGTCATTTTGTTGTGTTTGGTGACATTTGGTGTGTTTTGAACTTGAATTTGTGTTTGGAGGAGAAAATCCCCGAAGGGATTTGTTGTGGTACAGGGACGTACCCGCGGGCGGAACGCCAGGCGGGGCACCACCCGCCGGCCTACCTACGGGGAACGTGTCACCCTGTGGGTAGTGTACCCACGGGCGGGACCACGGGTGGGGCGCTACCCGTGGGTCCACCAGCGGGGAACACGGTGGAGTTGGTTCGGGATTTGTTCCCCGTGATTTGTTTGTCTCGGTGTTTGATCTTTTGACTTCCCGTTGTTCTTTGTGGAACTATTTGAGCATCTTCTTGATGTTTCGTAGTTCTAGAGCTTCATGGTAGGTATCCATGTAGGATCTTTGGTGTCTTGATTCGTGCTAAGTGTTCAACTTTGTGTTTCGTTGAACCAAGAAGTGTCTTGTGTGTTCCTCGGAACTATCTTGAGTTTCCCCGTTCATAAGCATGCTATTTTGTTGTCTTAATGCTAGCGTGTGTGTTGTTCGTACCTTCCGTTTGGGTGATGATAACTTGTGTTATTCATCATTGTTGTTGTTGGGTGGTGACCCGTTCCTTGATCGAGTGTGTTTCATACCTTCGTTGTAATCCGTTGCTTGACTTTCGTGTGAGTGGTGGTGCGTGTGTGGCTCTACCTGGATTGCACGATTAGTGGTATGGGACGCTAGTCACCAAGGTATTGCAGCGGTCCTCGTGGTGGCCGTGACGTGATTATAGAGTTGTGGCTGAGTCCACGTGATTGGGGGATAACATTGTGTTATCCGGGCATGTGTTGCCGTGATTGGTGGGTTTCCGTTGGTGGTTATAGGTGGGGGAAGACGGTCCCGGCGGAACAAGGTTGGACTTGGCTATACAGGGTTTTTCTGGAGGTAATGGTTGGCTTTGAAGGTACAAGGATGGGGGTAGCCATAAGGTTGGAACAGGGCATAAGGAAGGCATATCAACTCGTGATGGGTGATGTCACGAGGGCTTGTGTAGCCGTTGTGGTGAGTTCTCTTCTCTCGTGACGTGTGTAGTCACGGCGGATTGTGTTGTTTGGCATGTGTTGCCGTTGGGTGAGTCTTTATCCTTGTGTGTGGTTAACCTTTGTGGTTGGGATGTGTTCCCGGTGTTATCTTTGTGAGTGGTGAGTCTTGTGTTGTCTTCTGATCTTGGCTTTTGACTTATATATATGTATTCCGTTTCGAAAATGGTTTTTATGTCTTATATCTACCTATTTATGATACTTAACGGTATTGGTGGGTTACCAGCATCTTTCGCTGACCGGGCGTCGCCTTGATGTTTATCTTTGTGTTCTTTCAGGTGTTGAGTAGTCGAGCGCGATGTCTAGAGCCGGTAGCTTAGCGCCTGTACCTTTAGATTGTGTTTTTGTGGCTTGCGAGCCAATGGTTTTAGACTGTTTGTAGTTTGATGTTTTGGGATAGTGATACACTTGCTGATTGTTCGCCTTAGCGTTTACCGGGTGTGGTAGACGTGGCATAACACCCCTGTTTTGGATTTCTTTCATCCAGTTTCCGTTTTCTTCCGCTGTGCTAGTGTTTGTGTTAATCTGCATGTGTTTAGACTTGTTTTTAGGTCTTGTTTTTGGGGGGGGGGGGCGGGGGGGGGTGTTACTGTAACACCCCAGATTTTCAAGACTTTTAAAACTTATATAATAAAGATAGAATCTCATTAAATCCCAAAAATACGATACAAGAGTACGGGGTGCTATGCCACACCCGAGCTAGAGAACTCTGGTGCACAGGCTAAATTCTAAAACCTCAATTAGTATCAATACTAAATCATGGCACGCAGGCCGAAAGGGAGAACTATCTAAGCTACGCCCCAAGCTTCTAGCGCGCTCCAGTGATCTACTCGTCCGTGCCTGAAAGCCAAATATATCTGTTCAGCGAGAGATGCTGGTAACCCACTCCAACGCGTTGAAATACAATACATATAGTTATATATATAGATATACGAAAACCATTTTGAACATGAAGATATGTCCTACGAACTCAAGCTTTTAAAATAGGGATAGACTCAACAGATAGAGCTAAGCACAGACAACAGTTATACCAAGCATATATAGTCACAAACAGGCAAGACAGGTAAAGATAAGCATAATTAATAATCATAACCCAACATATACGATTCCCAGTATAAATCCCATAGTCACATCCCCAAGACACTCATAACAACAACTCATCCGTATCTCATCACATAGCACACTTTGTTGGCGCCACAGGACCAATCGCATGCCCATACATGTGGGTCAGCATATATAGCTCTGACACGGCCCAGCAGCACCCTGCCCCGTATCGCAACACGGAGGGGTCGATCGCAACCGACCGATGAACCGCAGCTCATCATAGTTTGATCGCAACCAAACAGTGGACCGCAACCCAAGAGTATGTCATCTGACCGCAGCCAGGAAATATGAACCGCGGCTCATGTAGAAACGTTTGATCGCAACCAAACGGTGGACCGCAGCCCGGGAGTGCAAATCTGACCACAGCCAGCTTCTGAACCGCAGCTCAGGAATAACCAATTCGATCGCAACCGAATTGGGGTATCATGCACACATAACACATAGCAAGCACATGTAACCCACATTAACACATTGGGAAGGGGCAGAAAGCGTATAACAAAACCTATGCGTGATCCTTCACATACTAAGAATAATCAAAAGGGGTTCATACTTCTTTCACCTAGGTCAACGGGATACCAATTCAACTAGCATGCAATATACAAGACTCATACAACCTACGAACGGTACCCGAAATATCAAACTAGACATAGGCACGATAGACGGGGTCCATTGGGACACCACGGGGGTCGGGGGAACATCAAACGGGGAAGCCAAAATCCCAAAGTGGGGTCCAAACCAGCGGGTAGCCAGTGGGTGAGGGATCACCCGCCGGCTGCCTGCCGGCGGTAGCTTATCCGGGCAGCGGGTGCCCGGCGGGCAGCTGCCCGCCCGCCCACTGCCCACTGCCGGCGTTGCCCAAGAAGGCCGCGGGTAGGTGGCGGGTCCCCTACCCCCACCTACCCCCCACTGACTCTTTTTCACCAAAAACGCCCCGGGAACCTTTGTGGAACCCGAAACGATGCTTAGACACTTTCAAACGCAATTGATAACACACGTAGACAATTAACTGATCAAAGATTAAGAAACATATGGCACATAACCTATCATGCTTTTCTAAACATAATCAACACCCAATCATGCGAATTCCCACCCAATATACCAAGAATAATTCCATACGATACAACCTAGGGTTCTAATCATTTTTAAATCAACAAGGACACAATTCATCTTCTAATATCAAGATTCGGTAAGAATATCACATAAACATCAAGAACATCCTACAATCATCAATGACATCATATAATCATCAAGAACATCATAAAATCATCAACAACACCATAATTATCAAGAACCTTTTATCATCAAGATCACCCATGGAATTATCCCATCAATCATCAATAATAATATCACAAATCATCAATACACAATAATATGGGGAAATCCTACGGGGGAAATCATAGCTATGAAAATAGGTTTTGTTGAGACTTGGGTTACCTCTTAGCCTTAATTAATTCCTTGGCTATGAAGGGTCTTTCTTTAAGCTTTCTTGCTTTCTTGATTTCTTCTAAGGGAATTCTTGGAGCTCTTTGGGGTGGTGAGTCGTTTATTGTGGTGGGGGGGTTCTAGGTGCCTCTTAAGTCCCCTGTTTATATATTTAGGAGTCCTAATTAGGAACTAATATTATAGGCTTGCTAATTCTATTCCTTTTGGAACTAAGGATTGGGTTTAGGGATAAGGGCCCATGGACTATGGTGGGCCTTTCCTAATTTAATTATTGTGATTTAATTCTTTCTTTTGGGTAATTGGTTAAATGATTAATTGGTTTTAGGGATCGTAACACGGGGTGTTACACTCTCCCCCCCTTACGAGGGGCTTCGTCCCCGAAGCCCGGTGTGTTAATCCATTCTTTCACCCCCTAGGCATCCCGCATCTTGGCCTCCCGGTTAGGAATGTGGCCCCACATTTTGCCTTAGCTGGGGTAGACTGGATTTCTGGTGGTGTTGTGATAGAAAGGTTTTGGGTCTACCTCGGTCTCTTGCTCCTGAGCTGGACGCCCCGCGAGTGCCCAAGGTGGCCTCGATTGCTGCCACCATCTGATCTAGTGCGCGTGTCGTACGGATCAAGGATGAGAACCCTTCCTCCATGATTTGGTTTTGCCGGTTGAGCTGTGCGAGTATGCGTTCATTGATTGAGCCCTCGTTTTGCTCCCTTGGGTTCCCTCCTGATCGTGGTTGCACCGACGGGTTGGGTTCGTCATCCTCCTCCTGGTCCTCATTTCCCTCTAGGATTCCGCAATCTTGCATTGCTCGTTTGAGCTTCTTGTTGGAAATGTCTAATTGGTCGACCAATTCTCTTCGTTCATCCTCGGGTTTTTGGCAAATTTCTTCGAGGGTGAGGTAATGTCCTCCCTCAGTGTAGTAGATATCATTGCGGCGTAGGTTCTGGGCGTTAAAGACCATGCCATTTGCGGTCTTGACCTCGGTGTGGCTTAGGTCCACCCCCTTTTTCTCCATGATCCAACTTAGGATCATCCCGCAGGGTAGGCTAAGTCGGTTGCTTGATTTGCAAAACTCCATGTGTTTTAGCATGAGGGCCGGCAGGTTGAACTTGATTTTGTGTTTCAAGAAGTAGGCAAAGGTGCACTCTAAACTCCCCACGTCCTTGCTTTTATTGTTCGTGGTCAGGAGGCTATCGGTTACAATCATAACCAATATCTTTTGTTCCGCCGATAGCCACTTTCTATTCGGTCGTGTGGCCGAGGTGAATCCTTCCTCTTTCCCGAGTAGGTACCCGAGGTAGTCTTTGAACCCCGTGTTTTGGGTATCAATCCACCCCTTTCGGTCATAGCTTGACACACCTGTGGTGGTCAATTTCAAAAGCTTGGCCAAACGGCCTTCGGAGAGTATGATTTCCTTGCCGCGGACCTTGGTGGTGATTTCTAGCTTATCACCCCGTTTGGTGGCTACAAGATGTTGATAGAATTCTTTCACCAATTCGGGGTACGTATACCCCTTGATGGCGAGATACGTATCCAAAAGCCCTTGGTGATTAAGCATATCAACCAATTCCGGAGAAAATTGGTCGGGTTCAAGGGCTTTACCTCCGATTACGGTATAATCGGCGTTGCTCCATTCCGGGGTACGGGTTCCAAGGGGCTTCTTTGGCATCTTGGTTTTCGGCTAGGCGGCGTTTTTCGGCGAGTCTCCGGCGAGTTCTCCGGCGAAGAGGTGGTGCGGGTTTCTGGCGACGCGGCGGCGGCGGGCTCGGCTTCGGCGGTGGCTCTGCGCGGTGGTGGTGGTTTTGGGTGGAACCGGCAATGGCGTGGCGTGTGGCAGCGGGGTTCGTCCGGGTGGGTGGCGGATGGTGACGGCGTCGCGGGTTGCCTCCGGGTAGTGACGGTGGTGTGCGGTGGTGCGTTGCTTGGACGGCTGGCGGTGGTTCGGCTGGTGACGGCGACGGGTGGGTGGTGGTTGCTGGGTGTTGTTGGGTCGGCGGGGTTGAGAGGGAGAAGTGGGGAGAAAGAGAGGGTGTGGAAGAGGAAGAAGAAGGGTTTTTGATTTGGGGATTTCTGTGGGTTTAGGGACTTGTAGGGCTTTTAAGAAGAAAGTGTTCCCTTGAGGTTTCAAGAAACATTCCTAGCTTAATGGTCAAGACCTTGGTCTTGTATATGGGAGGTTAAGAGTTCAATTCCTATTAGCAACACTAGGCTTTTCTTGATGGTGTGGTCCCTGTCTTTTTCCCTCTTTTGTCTTCTAGTGATGGGAGGCTTGGCTTGTTATATAGTTTGCGGTTTCGTCTTTATAAGCAGGATCGAATTTTAATTGAATCTTTTATTTATACAATTCCGAAGTAATCGCTAAATAAGTAGTTTTACATACTATGAAGGTGATTACAAGGAATTGTCGGTTTATCCTAGACAGAATTCGTCTTCTTGATTTTCTCCTGCGGGGTTTGCGTGGTCCTCATCTTCTGGGGTTAGGTTCCCCTCCTCGAGGTTGCTCTCGTTCCCGAGGTCGGCTTGAGTGCGGCTCATGACGAATATTTTCCCGGGAGCGCCGTAGTTCCCTTGGTGGGTGGTGCCTCCGTGTTGACCTGTGGTGGTGGGGCGTGGCCTTTTGGGGTTGAACGCACTGGAAGGCCTTGTGCCCTTCTTCTCCGCAGTTGAAGCATCGCCAGGGATTGCCCATGCAATCTTTCCCTCTATGGCTTTTGTTGCATTTTGGGCAAGGGAAGCTCCTTGGGTTTGCTTCATTGTTCCCTAGGGACGGTCTTTGGTTGGTCAGGTTGCTTGGTCTTGTGTTGGTATCGTTCCTTGTTCTTTTTACCGGTGGTGCTCCCCCTCCGGTATTCCTTTTTCGTATATGTTCCTGAACCCCGCGCTGGAGTAGTTGGATTTGATAGAGATTGGCGGCACTGGAGTAAGCCTCGTTGAGAGCCCGATGTCGGCTTACCACTAGTGCTTTTCGGGCTTCGAAGTTGAGGCCCGAGACGAATCTTTCTATCTTGGTTACTTCGGTGGGGACTAGCTCTGGTGCGAAGCGCGCCAGTTCGAGGAATCGCTTGTGGTATTCCATGACGGTGGCTATCCCTTGTTTCAGATGGAGGAACTCTTCGTACATGGATGCTTTCACGTGTGTTGGGTAGAATCGTTCTTGTAGTCGTGTTTTGAGGTTTTCCCAGTTGAACCCCGGCACTTGTTGGTAAGCGGGACCCTCGTGGACCCACTAAAGATCGGCCTCGTGCCCGAAGTAGAACGAGGCTATCTCTACGCGACGTTCTTCTGGGCATTCTACTAACCCGAGAATCTTGTCGAGGGTCCGGATCCATTCCTCCAGGATCACAGGGTCATCTTCTCCTGAGAACGTGGGAGGTTGATGGTTTGAAACTTGTCGGGCGACGTCTGAGTTCGTCTTTGATGGAGGAGGCGGGGGCCTGTTGTTGCGAAGAGCTACGTCGCTTAGTGCCTGGGCGACTTGCGTCAGTTGTTGTAATGTTTGGGTCAGGGGGGTCGTGTGTGGTGGGTTCTGGAGTCCTCGATTGTCTTCTGTTGGGTGCCATGCTGTCGTCTTTCTGAGTCAATGTTTATAAGAACATTAAATTAGTTCTTGGCGTCTTTCTTTGACGTGATAAGCGGAGGAATGTTTTCTTTAGACAAGGAAGGAATGAAGTGAGGGGGTTTATGTGCAGGTTTCACAATCTCACCGCGCGTCCTAAAATTCCCGCGTCCTATGTTCCTAAATACCTAGAGTTCAAGCCTAATGTCCTAAAGTCCGGTTTTAAGAGTCTTATCCTAGGGTCAAACTTTGGCTCTGATACCAACTATAACACCCCAGATTTTCAAGACTTTTAAAACTTATATAATAAAGATAGAATCTCATTAAATCCCAAAAATACGATACAAGAGTACGGGGTGCTATGCCACACCCGAGCTAGAGAACTCGGGTGCACAGGCTAAATTCTAAAACCTCAATCAGTATCAATACTAAATCATGGCACGCAGGCCGAAAGGGAGAACTATCTAAGCTACGCCCCAAGCTTCTAGCGCGCTCCAGTGATCTACTCGTCCGTTCCTGAAAGCCAAATATATCTGTTCAACGAGAGATGCTGGTAACCCACTCCAACGCGTTGAAATACAATACATATAGTTATATATATAGATATACGAAAACCATTTTGAACATGAAGATATGTCCTACGAACTCTAGCTTTTAAAACAGGGATAGACTCAACAGATAGAGCTAAGCACAGATAACAGTTATACCAAGTATATATAGTCACAAACAGGCAAGACAGGTAAAGATAAGCATAATTAATAATCATAACCCAACATATACGATTCCCAGTATAAATCCCATAATCACATCCCCAAGACACTCATAACAACAACTCATCCGTATCTCATCACATAGCACACTTTGTTGGCGCCACAGGACCAATCGCATGCCCATACATGAGGGTCAGCGCATATAGCTCTGACACGGCGCCGCAGCACCCTGCCCCGTATCGCAACACGGAGGGGTCGATCGCAACCGACCGATGAACCGCAGCTCATCATAGTTTGATCGCAACTAAACAGTGGACCGCAGCCCAAGAGTATGTCATCTGACCGCAGCCAGGAAATATGAACCGCAGCTCATGTAGAAACGTTTGATCGCAACCAAACGGTGGACCGCAGCTCGGGAGTGTAAATCTGACCGCAGCCAGCTTCTGAACCGCAGCTCAGGAATAACAAATTCGATCGCAACCGAATTGGGGTATCATGCACACATAACACATAGCAAGCACATGCAACCCACATTAACACATTGGGAAGGGGGAGAAAGCGTATAACAAAACCTATGTGTAATCCTTCACATACTAAGAATAATCCTAAGGGGTTCATACTTCTTTCACCTAGGTCAACGGGATACCAATTCAACTAGCATGCAATATACAAGATTCATACAACCTATGAACGGTACCTGAAATATCAAACTAGTCATAGGCACGATAGACGGGGTCCGTTGGGACACCACGGGGGTCGGGGGAACATCAAATGGGGAAGCCAAAATCCCAAAGTGGGGTCCAAACCAGCGGGTAGCCGGTGGGTGAGGGATCACCCGCCGGCTGCCCGCCGGCGGTAGCTTATCTGGGCAGCTGCCCGCCCGCCCGCTGCCCGCTGCCGGCGTTGCCCAAGAAGGCCGCGGGTAGGTGGCGGGTCCCCTACCACCACCTACCCCCCACTGACTCTTTTTCACCAAAAACGCCCCGGGAACCTTTGTGGAACCCGAAACCATGCTTAGACACTTTCAAACGCAATTGATAACACACGTAGACAATTAACGGATCAAAGATTGAGAAACATATGGCACATAACCTATCATGCTTTTCTAAACATAATCAACACCCAATCATGCGAATTCCCACCCAATATACCAAGAATAATTCCGTACGATACAACCTAGGGTTCTAATCATTTTTAAATCAACAAGGACACAATTCATCTTCTAATATCAAGATTCGGTAAGAATATCATATAAACATCAAGAACATCCTACAATCATCAAGGACATCATATAATCATCAAGAACATCATAAAATCATCAACAACACCATAATTATCAAGAACCTTTTATCATCAAGATCACCCATGGAATTATCCCATCAATCATCAATAATAATATCACAAATCATCAATACACAATAATATGGAGAAATCCTACGGGGGAAATCATAGCTATGAAAATAGGTTTTGTTGAGACATGGGTTACCTCTTAGCCTTAATTAATTCCTTGGCTATGAAGGGTCTTTCTTTAAGCTTTCTTGCTTTCTTGATTTCTTCTAAGGGAATTCTTGGAGCTCTTTGGGGTGGTGAGTCGTTTATTGTGGTGGGGGGGTTCTAGGTGCCTCTTAAGTC